GCCGCTTCTAGCAAAAGTTTGAGATTATCTTTTGTATATGATCAAGAATCTAGGATGAGCACATGGCCGGTAATAGTGCTAAATCATAATGTGAATTATAAGGAATGCTATAAGTGTTTGTGCGTGTATTATTAAGTCTATACTAGACTGATTATTGGTTTAAGCAACGAGCCACCAATAACTTAGCTAGTAAGGTGACTTAATTTCACTACGAGATGGTTTAAGACGAAAGTTACCACCTCTTAAGTACGATTCTCATGATTGTATAATTATTTTATATTACAAACTAAGTGGGGGAATGTTGGAAATTTTTAGTTTGTAAAATAAAATAATTAATTTAGAATTTAAGGATAATAATTAAGTTGGCAACCCTTCACTTGCATGGTGGTTATTTCCTACAATCCAAGGGTTGTGTACTTAGTTTTGTATCCTTTTAATTCTGCAAGTGTTACCTATAAATAGGTGAACTGGTGCAGGATTTCTAAAAAAAAAAAAAACTTTTGCATTCATAAATTCTAGAGAACATTCAATAATTACAAGTTGCATGTTCTTGTGTTCTTTATGTCCTAGAGGCAAATTACCAAACAAACCCGGTATTGCAACATGGAGGGGGCAAATATTATCTTAAGGACAGTGTCTAACACGATTAGAACACATCCAAATCTTGTGATTCCCCCATTATTCTAAGATTCAAGTTTCTAACAATAAAGTTCATAAATCTTTCATCTTTATTCTTTAGTATCTTTTGTGTTGTCTCTTTGATTACCACCCTCATATACTTTCAGATAGTTTAACGTCCTTGGATATTCCATTTGCAGATCAATTGCACGAAGGCACTGAGTTGAATGGGAATACTTGTGAGTAATTCTCGCTCTTTTAAAAACTAGGAGTATAAGAATATATATTTAAAATTCACTGCACATTTGATTACATTTTTAAATGTTATTGAAATATTAACTGCATATTATTGAATGACCCAATGGTGTACTTACTCGCCTCGGGATATGTATCCTGGGTATTATCGTATCTGAGATAAAGTGGTATCGTTATGCGATTGAATGTTATTATTGACTGGTTACTGGATTGAGTATGATCTCTGAATGTGTTGCTTCTGGTGGTGTACTTTATACTCCAGGATGACTATTGTTGTTATCGATTGATTTTTGTGAAATAATGTGTAATTGTTGCTTCGGTGGACTCTATTCACTTGGAGCCTGGGCCCTGTCTTTGTTAGGCGAACTTTTGCCGGCCAGCATCGGATTTGGTCGCCAGGTTAGCTTACTTAGGCTTATCGTATTGTCCGGATGGACACGGAGGTTATGAATATCCAAGGGGTGGCCACGAGGTGTTGAGAAGAAATTGTTATTGATATGGAATCGTTATCATTATCGTATTGTTGAAATCTGCCTCAGAACCTGTCTCTATGCCACCTAGACTCTCTGGCAGCCCTTACTAAGATTTCTCTATATCCACCCCATTGTTAACTGTTTATTGTGAATAGTTGATAGTTGAATGATTATATATAGAATGATTTCTTTTGAATGTTTTATCAAAATAGTTTTATTAAAATTATTGTAGTAGTATAGTTAAAACCTCACTGAGCTCGGCGCTCACCCTTTTATATTTTATTCCCGTATCTCACTCTCAGGTTTAGGACGAGTGCAAATGAGAGTCTGTCAAAAAAGATTGTTTGCCAGAGATGTTGTTGCTAATAGGCTGTAACACGAAATAGGTTTTAGTGAAAATATTACCCTAATATTTAGAATTAACGTTTGAAGCGATATTATTCAATAAATTTTATTGAGTTATTTTAGAATTTGTACTTAAAGATGAATATAAGTAATGCGCCTTGGGTGAGAGCCCGGCAGACGGCCTACTCGTAGTTAAGCATAACTATGATAACAAGTAGGTGAGTTGGGTCGTCACACACGCCGGCCGGATTCTGGCCAACTCGCTGGAATTAGGCCGACCGGCGGTTGGCCGATGACGGTCTGGCGGTGGCAGTGGGCGGTCCGGTGGCGGCGGAGGTGGTCCGGTGATTGTGGATAAAAATTGTATCAAACTATTGTTTGAAATAAATTTTAAAAAGTTATTTGGATAGTATTGGGTTTTGTATTTGAGAGATTTTTAAGAAGTAAAATGTGACAAAATGACAAAATAAAAGTTGTCCAAACAATACCTTAATTATCAGTGGATATGACATTGAGGTTATTGTTACTGCCACCACTCATTTTTCTTATACCCTTTATTTAAAAGGTAAATAAATTATAATTTTTATTGTGTAGGGGGGCCGAAGTTACATATGTAAATCAAGCTGGTGGCTATAGGTTCACTGATTTTAGATTCTGCATTTGGGTATGGTTCTACATCTGCGATGGGTATCTTGAAGGAAAGGTAACCGATAATCTCGTTTTTCTTGTAATAATTAAAATATATAGAGATACCCAAATTTATCTTTTTAACACATCTTTGAAAAAATTTAATCCCCCTAGGTTCCATTCTATTCCTACGATGACAGTTGATGAAGCATCAAACGTAGCCAAATTGGTGATGTCTCTCTGTTTGATATCGCCGATGACTACACTGGTGGGGATCGTCCGGTGTAACATGTTAGCACGTATGGGCAGTGTCAATTTTTTTTATGGAGAAATCACAATTTTTGCAACAGGAATACTTTGAAGATATAGGGGGTTTGCTCAACGAGGAGATTATAGGGGATTTGCTCGACGACGACGAGTTCAATAATACATGAATGATTACAGAGCATTTCCGAGATATGGGGGAACATGCTTGACAAGTTTGATATATGATTATGATACACCTTTTGTTTTGACTCCAGTTCAGGGATTTGAACTTATCTCAATTTCATTAAGGCTCTGTTTGGTTGGAATGAATTGGACTCAAGAATTGGAATTGGAGGCCTCAAATTCCAATTCTTGTATTTGGTTTATAAAAATAGACCTTCCAGAATTGGAATTATAATTCAAGATGAGCCTCAATTGTTTATTTTTAATTCTTTTGTAGGAGCAAATAATTGCAATTCGAATTCGAATGATCTTTTAGAAACACACGGGTGATATACGGTTGTTTTCCAGATTATAAAAAAACGGGTCTCTTTTAAGTTTAAGGTTTTTTTTTTCCTTCTTTCTTCAGCGATGCACGCTGATTTTTTATTTTTTTTTTTAAGAACCCTGCACGCTGATTTTTTATTTTTTTTTTTAAGAACCCTGCACGCTGCTTTTCCTTTTTCTTTTTTTGTTTCCCCTTTTCTTTGAGCGCTGGAGTTTTATTTTATTTTTATTCTTTTTGCTTTTTGTTAAATTAACATATGTTTTTATTCATTTTGCAAACTAGGTGTACATTAATTTGAAAATTATTAATGAGATCTATACGTTAAAATTAGTATTTTATTTTTTTGATAAAAATTATCAAATGTATAACTATATCCATAATTTATTTAAAAAATTAAAGTTATTAATTATGGGTTAAATATTTTTTTATCAAATGTATAAATAATTTTTGAACTATACTTGAAATTTTTTTTACTAAAAATTATGTAAGCTTTGAAGAAATCGAAATATATATTATTTCATATATAATTATAAACTAAAAATAAAAATAATGAATTATTACCATGTATTAATGTTAATCTATACATAAATGAATGGTCTTTACTTTCAAATATATAAAAAATTTTCACTTAAACTCAAAACAAAAAAAACTTAAATTTATAAAATAATAAAAAAAAGAGAGAAACAATGATGTTTTACATGTTACTTGTGAAAATTGCAATCATCACATTAATATTCTTTACGTAATAATAAAAGAAAAGTTTTCCACAATGTAGGTATCTAGTAAATTATAAAATTGATATATATTACTCAGATAACAAAAGTTCTAATAAATGTACATAATAAATTTATTTTTTTCATCTTATATATATAAGCAATAAATTGCTTTGATATATAAAATTAAGTATTTCTTTTATTCAATGAAATAAAGTACTAAATTGTAGTTAGATAATAAAAACCTAATTCTAATTCTAGATTTTATAAATTTATAATGGTCCAAACACCAGAATTAGTATTGGAACCTTAATTCTAGTCAATTCTTAAGATCTTCTAAACAAAGGAATTAGGATTAAATTACAATTTTAAACAAAGGTTTTGAATTGTTTCATTGGTCAATTTTCTTACCATTTATTACTCCCTCCATTTCAAAATTTAAGTCACTTTAGACGTTGCACATATACTAAGGACACAATCATTCAACAATTAATGTATGTGTTAAATATTTTTTTTATCCCTCATTAATTACATTGAAACTATAAACAAGATTAAATGAAAATATATTAGTATCATTTATTGAGGGTAAAGTTAGAAAAATAATCATTAATTTGCCTAGAATTCGTAAAACTATCTACATTTTAAAAAATTTCTCCAAACCTAAAACGTGAAATGGATGGAGTAAAATTTTTTTGAGTTATTATTATTATCATCATCTGCCTAACCACATCATATATACCCGAAAGGAGAGGGGGAAGCATTAACTGGTTTATGATATTCAAGTTATGATAGCAAGCATTAACTTTGTTCAATCTTTCATTTATTTTTTTTAATTTGCAAGGTTAAGTTATTTAACATATATTTTCGTTTTTCAAATCGAATTATTTTCGTGAGTTAGAGATAGTAATAAAGATTGAAGATAAAAATTCTATGAAAAAAAAAAGTTAATTCATTTTGTGATCATTTGCTTTGAAAACTTTTTATCTGAATTTTGAATCAAGTAATATTCACTCAGTCTGAAATAATTTTCTAATTCAGAATTTCATATTTCATAAAAGTTATATAGTCGCTCTATCCTAAAATTAATGCCTGGCAATAAAAATTTAAAATCAATCAATCATCATTGGAGAGAAAGAGAGAGTATAATTATTGTGGTAATTAACAAAATACAGTATTTTCGTTTTGTAATTAATATTAATACCTTTCCATTTACGGATTTAAAGAACCAAACAAACAAAATACAATAAGACAACAAAATAAACGTTGATTCGTTACTCCCCACACAGGGGAACTGAAACACTAGAATGGTGGCTGCCGGAGATTCACTTCCCGATGTGGAAAAAGAAAACGCTGATGAATCCAATACGAGGACCTTTACAGCTTCTCGGACGCTACCAAGAAAACCCCTCGTCGATCGGGGCATTATTCTGACTCCGCCACCATCAATTACCTGGTCATTGGTATCAATCAAGGACAACCACCACGAAGGAGATGATGATGATTCCTCCTTCCTCATTTTTCCTCCGACCAAGCATGAGAATCTCCACCTCTCGCCTCCCTCTCCGCCTCCTCTTCACTCGCTTGATTTCAAACACCGTGGAGAGTCATTCCCACTGCCATTTCTCTCGTCTTCTTCTTCATCGTCTGAAATCGTCGATGGAGATGAATCTAGTGACGAATCTTCGACGTCGACGTTATTCTCGCCGTCCCCCGGCGGCCCAGAATCTCTTCCTGTTCTGAGAGAAAGAACAACAGTGGGCGTCGCCGGATGGGTGAATTTGGGGGTGGAGGTGTTGTATTCGAGGGTCAAAGGGGTGTTACAGGGGTGGCACCGGACTCCGGCGAAGACATCGGCATTCGGGTGGGCGGCAATGGTGGTGGGGTTTCTCTATTTCTGGTGGCGGAGGAGGCAAGGGAGGATAGAGCGAGAGAACAGGCACCATCGTGTGGCTCGAATTATCAAGGAGAAAGATGAGGTTTGTCTGCTCACTGCTATAAGTGTTTGTTGAAATGCCTGTCTTTAAAATTTATGATTGTTTCGTTAACGATGATGATGATGATGACCTTTCGTAATGTTGATTGTTGCAGAGGATTAGTCAATTAGAGAATCAAATAGCTCGGATGAATGACTTGTTGCTGGCACTCCAGAGATCACCATCTTCATCAAAAGACTTGAAATGAAGCCTCCTTTCTCTGTCTTTGCAATCCAATTTTATACATAAATGTAGCATTTAATGATTTGAATTCATTTCTTTTCTTCCCCCCTTGGAGTTTATGTTGTTTCAAACTGGAAAGTTAACACAATGTAATCTTGAAGGCATGATAATTAGGAGTTAGAGCCCTGTATGATTGGGCTAATAAGACATTACTGTTGTTTGTAATAGATTTGCAGATTTTCAGAACGGTACTTATTCAAGTTGATCGTGTTCGACAGAAGTGAGGGTCTGATCAAACTGGACCAAGACCAAGTTCTTTCTCTTCTGAATTTATGGTGTAATTATATAGAAAAATGATTTTTGTAGCTTATACCGAATACACATTTCAAATGTTTGCCTGAAAAGATGTCACAGTTCGATTCGATCCTCACCAGTAACACTGGTAAAATGTCTGGTAAAATGCTTGTTGGCTGACCAGATGTCAAAGATCGATTATCTCCTGTTGCATTCGTAAAACGTCCTGTAAAAGTTTGATTATCGTTGCATTCTGTTGAAGATCAATATCACTTTCACCTAACGACATGCTCTCAATGTTGTTTCCTTAATCACTAATGGACGTGCCCTCAATTCCATTGGCACATTTGCCTCTTCTCGTAGTAGAAATGACAGAAGCAAGCAACACAACTTAAGAGAAATTGCACCCGCACTGCCTTAAAAACATTCGCAGCCAAAGGCACTTTTGTTATCCCCCTTGTGTTTACCTTAAGTATATCCACAATTGCACTTTTCTAGCTAAAAGAAAGCAGAATTTCAACCCCATCTCCACTTTTCGGAGTATGAAACAAGGGCTAATAGCATAAAACAAGATCCCAAATTTAGATGTTCGCCAACTTGCAACAGTTTTGAGAATAAACTTTTGATGACATAGCAGTATAATGAATGTCCCTAATGGATAATTCGAAAAGCATCCAAGCAATAAGTAATAACCAGTGACCGAAAAAAGTGGCAAATGCAGATAAATATTATCTGTCTACTGTTGAAATGAACTCTTGATGTGCAATAATGATTTTTTATACCTAAGAAAGAATTAAAAAACTTGCAGAAAGTGGTAAATCACACCGGTATGCGGCCATTTGGCAGCTAAGGGAGGTTAACACAGTGAGCATATACTCGTTCGGGCCGTCTAGTCAATCCTACCCATATAAAGAACTTTGCGGCAGTCCATCTTACACTGGCTTAACAAAGTTCAGAATCTTTCTTCTATATTTTCATTAAATTACAACTGTTCAAAAAAAAAAAAAAACAATCTTCATTTTCAGATATCCAACTTCAAAATGTGAAAAACCTATCACCGTTCTTCAGGCTTTACAAAAGCGTGCAGTAGGCACCATTCAGCTGGCACCTCACTAGGTAGCAACCATTCCATGATCCAATCTCCAATCTGCTCCTCATATGGAATGAAATAGGAATACTGCATGGCACAAGGCATCAAGATTTAGCACAAACGAATCCAAATTCTAGATTGTGACAAGCCAAGTTATGCAAACACAATAAGAAACTATTTGTTTATACATCATTCAGAAGGGAAGGCAAAAGAACAGGAGGGGATACAGAACATCTATTTTTCTCTATGTTACTACACGGTTCAACTTAGACTTCGGCTACATAGTTCATTTCTTCCACTTAAAAGCAAAAGGCTTTGCCAGAAGAATGCATTTTCTGGCCTCTCTAACCGGCGAAATTTTTAAGGTGAACTTTGAGCAAGAATATCAATTGTACCTTTGTCAGTAAGACAGCGGCAAAATATGTAAGGGACAAATTATCCGACAAACTTTCCTGACAAAGGAATTAACAATTCCATTACAAATGCATTATAAATACAGCAATTACAACCACAAAGAGAAGAAACAGTATAACTCAACTCATACAATTGAAAATCAGATCAAAATGAACTCAAGCATCCTATCAAAGGAGTTCGTGAGGAATTTTATAAAATAACCACCTAGTGAAGGATGACCGTCAAGCTTTTGTTATGTGAATTAAAAAAGATCAAACCTAAAAATCCACGTCAGGCACTGACAACGCCGTAATACCAATTTAGTAACTACTAGCACATTCAAATTCTGGACACATATAATCCAGAGATTAGGCCCAACTGATATATAGAAAGGAAACATTCTGATAGATATCCTGTGGGACCCTTTTACATGTTTAACAACATCTACGAATAGTTGCCTCACATATTAGGATTATTAAAAGCAATCCTACACTCAATAGTGAGCCTATTTTCATACTAAGATGAGAAACCTAAAGTAAAACAAATAACAAGGAAGCCAACATTTTTCTTTTAAGAAGTTGCTAGATAAACCATGATGCAGTATTAAACTATTAATACAAACATCCAGCAAACAGACTTGTCCTGCATACGTGATACTATGCCATTTACTAGATACAGTAAAGGACAGCAGACAGGGGAGCTAAAAGATTACATTAGACTTGAGATCCTTAAGTTTCTCTTGTCTGAATCAGTTTTCAGTCATCCCACTGAATGCCAAGATTTATCAGTGTTCAGCCAGATTAACATGATTTGAAATGTTTATTAAATTTCACAACATATAAACATTCAAAAACATAAAGCCAAAGGATGGGAGATTTTTATTCAAAAAGAAAATCTATTCTAGAAACTCAAGATGCACAAATAAGGTTTTCAAGGAATACTAAAAGAGAACAGTTGCATATTTCTAATTCATTTGAACTTTGGGCAAGAAGAAACACTACTTACCACAAATTCGTCCCATGAACAGCTAGCTGCGGGATCTGCTGCTTTGTTGCCTTGAATGGCGAATATCAAACTGATCTACAGATACCAATGGGGTATTGGTTTCATTCCTAATCCTCTTAATATTTGGACTCACCAAGCCCCTATGCTTAAATCCGTACAACCTGAGCACTTGATTGTCAGCAAAATTGAAAGCCCTTTCCATGCTTTTCAAGCACCGCTCTGCTGGATAGTCCCCATAGCTTCCACAAGGCTTACAGCCCACAAAATGCGTAACAAAAGGCCATCTCTCGTCACCCACACCAGGACGATGTTTCCCAATGATGTCCTCATATCGATCTACCAATCCTGCCCAATACCCATGCAAATAATACGAATTCTCAATAAAGACCTTGTCCATCAAGGCTTCCTTCTTTGAAATCAACAAATATATCAAAGCAGACTGATCATCTGCCTCAAATTTCGGCCGTCCCTTCAAATTGGCTGTTAAAACCTTGCCTGCCTCCTCACGAATAGGCCCTTTTGGACCCATTGGTGCCCAAGCATCCAACAAATCCAAAGACCATTGGCAATTCCTTAGTAAAAAGCTACCAGTGTTCAAAGCAATCCAAGATTTCTGCTCAAACAACAGATCTTGGTACCCATGAATAACCAAGTTATGCTTATCATACTTAGTTATAGGAATTTCAAACACCATATCAGTAAACAAAGCATCACTATCCATCCACCAAACCCACTCTACTTCAGGATGAGACAACATTAGCCTCCTAATCAAAGGCAATTTGGCCCAATATCCAGCCATTTCCGTATCTAAATGCGCCATATTATATACAATCTCAATCCCATGAATCCTACAATAATCAATCTTATTCTTGATACCCTTTAACAAATAGTGATCCCCGATTGCATTATCACACGGATTGGGAGGTGACCCAGAAACAAGCAAAATACGAGGCTTCCCATTAATGTAATTAGGAAATTCAGGATGCTGGGACAACCATACCTTTCTTTCCTCATCCCAATTCGCAATTTTGGGCCCCAAACTATACGTCCCATTCGAGACAACAACTTCTTCATCCGCCGACGGCGGCTCATTCGGATCAACCGGGTCGTCCACCGACCGGATCTCTGCAAGGATCCGGTTAATGTCCTCTTGCATTTGCTCCCTCTCAGCCTCAGCTTCGGAGGATACGAGGTTCCCAAAGCCGATTGTGCCACGCAGGACCAAAATGGTAACGAACCCACATAAAAGCGTGATCTTTAAGTTGTTGAACGTCTTCTGGATCTGCCTCCCGCGCGGGATCGCTGGGGACGCCCGGCTCCTAGCTCCGCCGCCGTTAGGGGTGGCGGCAGTGGTTGTCGGAAGCGTCCCTGACCTCTTCTGCGCTGTAAAATTGCTGTCCGGGCCCATTTGCTAGTCAAATGCGAGTGGGTCTTTCGGGGTTGCTTGCTATTCAGCTGAAAATGCTTCCCTTTAATTTATTTTCGTCAAGAATTTAGGGGGTTTTACAGAGGCGGTGACATGTGGTTGCTGCTGCTGCTGCTGCTGCTGCTGCTGTGTGACTGTGTGTTTTTTTTTAGGGGAAGAAACAATAGCAGCACCGAGTCACCGACTATTGAATGTAATAGTAACAATGTGGCTTGCAAATTGGGAGAGTTGCTTATAATAATTTAGTTTGTTTAATTATAGCTTTAGACACAGCTCAACACGTAGTCATCACGCACTGAAAGTGGAGAAATAGAAATGGGAAGGGAGGAAAAGTAATGTAATTGGTAAAACAACCTTTAACTTTAGTTTAATTAAATGTAAAGCACATCATAATTACTCCCTCCATCCTAAAATCATTGTCCTATTTGGATTTTCAGTTTTAGTACAAATTGAATGAAAAGTAAAAATTTAAACTGTACAATAAATTTAGGACAGAGGGAGTATTATTAACTCCAAATGCTTCCAAGACATTCAAGTTGTAAGTACTGCTTGTCCTAAGTTGCATTCTTGTTTGTGTTTTGGCTCAATTTTCAATTCACAAGAAATGAAAAAAATAGTATGAAAATGTATCTTTAAATAGAAAAAAAAGATTACTTTAAAATTGTGTAATGGTACAAAGGGTTTTTTTTTTTTTGGTTACAATGAAAGAGGCATATGTAAAACAAAGTTAATATAATAATTGAAATAAATTTAGTTACAAAAATAAGACAGCCAAATAAGATTCATCGTTAGTTATTATTCGTAAATTAATATTCTCTCTATCCTGAAAAAGTATCTGATTTTTTTTTACTAATTATGGAACAATAAACATGTCATTCATTTATAATCAACGAATACATATCATTTAACTTTTCGTGAGATTGCTGAGAACATATAATAAAGGTAAATATAATCTTAGATCTAAAATTTTAATCACCAAAAAAAAAAACAGTGTCCTTTAATTTGAGTGGTAATTATCACAATTCACCAAAAAAAAAAATTACATGTGAAGGGAAAAATTTCTTTTTAAAGCATAACTCCAACATCACTGAATCAAATATTTTTGATTAATTCATGTAACAGAAAATAATTAATGCAAAGGTTAAGAGATCTTTCATCACAAGATAAAAGCGAAAGGTGTTATTTTGTAATTAACTCAAAGATGAGAGAGACAAAAGTCCGGCTGTTTAGGGGCTGGAGGGATTTTTGTGATTTAAACGCGTTAGAGTGACGCCAAAACACCATGTGTTTGTGTTGATTGTTAGATTTAGTCAAAATTGGTTACTACGGTGCCTGTAAGAACATCATAATGCAGACATCACGCCACAACAAAGCTGGAAGTTTTTAAGGTTACGCCTTTTAGGCACAACTATTGCGTGTATTTCTATTTAATTTTGTCAAATTCAAAAAATAAAATAAAAAACAAAACTACCACAATACAGAAATTCACTGATTATGACTATTCGAAAGGCAATAATAACAAAAACAGTGAAAAAATCTAGTGAAGATGACGTATACACAATAATTAAAGACGAAAATATAATTTTAGAAAAGAAAGATATAATTTCTACTGCTAACTGTTCAGTGTAGCTTAGTCACTACTTCCTCCGTCCCATAATTATTGTTCACTTTATCCAAAAAATTTTGTCCCAAAATTATTGTCCAATTTGACTTTTTATGAATCAAGTTACACATTTGTCCTTAGTAAAAAAAATTATCTATGAAATCTTAGTGGTTAAACAATTACTTATGTAGGGGTATATCCGGTTATTTAAGGTAAAATATAGTTAAGTTTGACCAAAAATAAAATCTTTCATTTTAGTGAAACTGGACAATAATTATGGGACAGAGGGAGTATTTCTTTTCACTATATATTCATCACTATACATATCGTTTTCTCTATTAAGGCATGACTTTCGAAATTTTTATCAAAAAAATAATTACTTTCTCTATCCTAAAAAAATAATCAGGCTTACTTCTATTTAGTCTGCTAATTATGTGTTGTTCACATGAGTCATAAGTCATAACTATAGAAGAAGTTGTAATAAAATAATACAAATTTCAAATATTACTATAAACTATTTATTTAGAAGGAGATAAATATATTTAAAAAGATTGTCACACATATTTTTATTTAATCTGCCAATTATATATTGTTCACATAAGTTATAATTATAATTACAAAAGAATTCAAACACGGTTGATAAATTACTCAATGTTTGAAGTTTGGAGTATATTGCCGAGCGTGATTAACTGATTATCAATTGACGTTCCAAAATAGGAACAAAATCACGCAATCACTATCTTTCAATTACCTAATTTTGGGGATTGTTGGGACATTTTAGATGGAGATTCATGAATCCAATGATTGAGATGAGCTCGTCATCTAACAATCATCATAAGTCATTACTACCACTTTTTTTTTTGGTAAAGAGGAATCAAATTCGATGAGGTTAAATCACGGTCCTGAAAAGATAACCCAAAATGAAAAAATTGCTATTTCAAGAATTATATTTATCACATATATATATATATATTAGTACTCCCTCCGTCCCAAATTATTGTCCACTTTGTCAAAAAAAATTTGTTCCAAAATTAACCAATTTGACTTTTTTTATGAGCTAATTTACACATATATCCCTTAGTAAAAAACAACCATTTAACTGGAACATTTTTCTCTGAAATATTGCCCATAATAAACATAAAAAGTGAAAACCCCTCACATATCTCGACCAAAATCTCCCTTCATGCTGCGACAGGGGTAGAGATTACAAGCCAGAAAGCACAACGGAGTGGGAAACTTTTTTCTCCAGTATTCCTAACGCACAAAGAAGCGAACACAGAAACGAAGCTATACTCTACGGATGGTAAGGATGAGGACGCCAGGTGACTATCGGAAAAGAAAATTGAGAAGAAATTCCGGCAAAATTGAACCAGAATTGCAACGCATCAATTCAAAGGACATTCATGACAGACTAGAATAATTGAACGAAGAATCAAATTTGAAGTTTACAGTAAGAACTAAGAACTTTTCCAAATTTAAGTGAATTCATCGGAAATTATGTTCCATTAACATAAATGATGACCTTACAGAACAAGCTCTGTCCGATCTATGCCGACGAGAAACTTTCCGGTAAAATAGAAGAATGGTCTTCATAAACACCAAATTGAACCTTGAAATCAGAAGATTCTCTAGGCTCAAAATTTATCAATTGAAATTTAGTTTCAATGTGGCCTGGTGTCTTACTGAAGAACAAAATGGAGGTGCCGTTCTGGGGTTTGTTGATGATTTACGAATTTGGGAGTTAGAAAGTTCTTCTGTGCGTCGGCAAAACCGATTAAGTATGCAGGGGTATATTTGGAAACTTATGTTAAAATTTGGTTAAGTTTAACCAAAAATAAAATCTTGTATTTTAGAAAAAGTGGACAATAATTTTTGGGACGGAGGGAGTATTAATTATCGAAAGGGCAAATGAAGACGCGAGTCACCGTCTCTGAAATACTAATTTAAACTTTATTTATTTAATTATCTATCTTCTTTTTTTTTGTACAATAAATTTTCTTGACCACATTTTTGTCTTTCATTCAGAATATTGGATCCAGGATCACCGTGAGGAGTTTATAAAATCTGAAATTTGCACATATGACCATATTGACTGCTGCCTTAGTTACATTTGTAATCGTAATCAATTTTAGTCACATGATTAATGAGATTGGAGTGATTTTCGGCATATTTTTGTATTTGATTTTGTTAAAATAAAGTAAATGGATATGTGTATATGTAATTATGACAGATGATATATCTCTAAAAAAATATTATCTACAATTTCATTAATTATTTTCAACTTTCAAAAAAACATTAATATTATTTAATGATCAAACCAATATGTAATGGTATTATTCAATCCAATCCAAAAATATTTTTAAATCAATCACTTTTAATGTTGAATTAAAGAATCACTGATGATTTTGCATTTATTATTTTTAAATTTCAAAAAAGTATTAATATTGTTTAATGATTAAACCAATATTAATGGCATTTTCAAGCCAATCAGAAATTTTTTTCAAATCAATCAGGTTTAGTGTTGAATTAATGAATCACTGATAATTTGTATTTATAATTTTTGAATTTTAAATAATCATTAATATTGTTTAATGATCAAATCGAGACATAATACTATTATTCAAGCCAATCGGGTAATTTTTTCAAATCATTCTTATTTAATGTTAAGATTTCAAATTTTTTGTTTTCTTTTTCATTTTAGGGAATGTAAAATAGAAAGTTTACCACACAATTAATTGATATACTTTAATTAAGAATTGATAACAATTTATTAACTGAAAATTTAAAAATATTTTTTGTGTCAACCTATAAGGAAATGACACATAGGATTTTGTCTTATGTGTCAACGGGGGGAGAAGTTTGATTTCCTCTCTCTGGTTTCTCTCTTATTATAATACTATAGATAGAATTTGTTCCTATTGGAAGAGTTTGGAACTTTTGTGGAAAAAAAGTCCTAAATTTATGCCCCCATTGATGCATGACGATCTCGCTGTCTCTTTGAGTTTATTTTTTTCATGTGATATGTAGTTCATGTGTTTTGAAAATCGGATCGGATAGACGATCGAACCGGTTCAACCAGGAATCAGAGACTTTCCTGGACAAACTTGCGATTCGATTGGGAACCGATATCGGCTGGATCGAATTTCTAAAATTAAAAAAATAATTATTTTTTTAATATTTTTATATCCAGTTTTGACCGGATGAATCAGTGAACCAATGAACCAGTTAAGTTGTCGATTTGCCTTCCGGTCTGATTTTAAAAACATAGATATGTGCCCAATATCTAATCTAACACTCCAAAAAATATTTTTAATCATTAAGAGAATCCAACAGAATTTACACCTATTTCTATCAAAGAAAAAGAACTCTTTTCTCTTACTCCTTTTGAGTTGTGCCGTTATGCCATATGCATGTTACTTTACAAAGAGTAACAGTGTTGGTTTTTTTTTTTTTTTAACACCCCCTAAAATAATTTCTTACTTATTCAAATAAACGAAATTCGATCCATAAATTTCCAATTTATCAA